CATGTCATAACGTTTCAACACTAAAAGATGTAAGCCAGGTGTGAAATCAATATAAAATAGTATGCCAGTTGGAGTCACCTAATGTCACCTGTACGACGGAACCTATAGCTCATCAACCTAGTCCTGCACACGAGTCGGAACCACCTAATATGGTCTATACGACAGGCTGGGTGTAAATAGTACGTTTAAGTGCTACGATCATGTGAAGACTGTGCGAAGTATCGCAAGTCACCTACGAGTCGGAACCACCTAATGTGGTCTGTACAATAGGCTGACACTTGCCTTGGATCCAAGGTGAGCGTGTAGTGCGGGAGGTGAACAATCACGTGAAGGCTACGCCCAGGCCTCGGACGAAGCACTAACACCGGGATGCAGGATAATGAGCACTAAATGCATCTAAACATAACCATGCACGTTGCAATTACTATCATCACTATGCACTCACCTGAAGCTTATATGGGCTTCTGCAACGTCATGCAATAATATGCATAACTATACTAATGCATATACTAAAATGCAATGCAATTGACATGACATTTAAAAACATAAATCCATTTCAAACCATTTCTGGGAAAATGGAAAACATATATACGTATATAAAGAAAACCAAAAGTCCACTCACCTGGAATCCGAGCTACAACTCCCTAGCACAAACATTGAGGCGTCATGAACGATCGACGCCTAGAACAATTATCAAACCATATTTCAGAATCCTTATCAATAGAACACGTAACTTACATATCCTATTCGGGAAGATCCATGAGTCGGATTCCCAATCCATAAGTTCCTAATATCCTCAAATATTATATTATGTACTATAACATATCAAGGTTTGGTGACGATCCAACGGTCGGATCGTCGATTCATATAATTATCAAGTAACGCACCTTAATCAAACTAGATTCACAATAATCAAATCACATCATATGGATATCAAATCTAAGATCAAGATATCAATTTAGTGTAAAATGGCATCAGCGGCCCACTGGTCACACGCCGCCGCCGGTGGCGGTCGGTCACCTTGACTTGCTAGAAAATTTTACAGGCAAGTAGATCTCGATGAGGGGAGAAATTTTCATACCTGGGCCAAAGTCCAATTCGGCCAGGAAACCCTTGAAAATAGCCTCGAATCGCCGGAAACCCTCGAATTTAGGTGTTCTTGATTCGACTCCAAAACAACTCCGACGCCTCAGCCATTGCATGGGCTTTGTTACAGACCTACGGAGAAGTCTAATGGTGGTGGTAATTGGAAGAACACGTTTCAGATTTGGTGGATCTCGGCCACAGATCTCATGACACCCACGGGTTCATTTCTTCCTGAATTCGAGCCTAATCTCCTCAAATTTGATATAGAAATGGGAGAAGAAAGGTCTATATGATGATTGGAAGTGGTAGATTGACTCAATCCATCGGAAAAATGATGAATTTCGCCAGAGAAACCTATGGGTCGCAACCGGGTTCTTGGGTTAAGCGGAATCCGGTTTGGTTCCCTTCATGATCCTCCTTTCTCCTTTCCTTCCTTTCTCACTTCTCTGATCGGTCACTCTCTCATCTCTCATATCCTCATTGGTCCGGTTTTCCCCCTCCTTTCTTTCCTTTATCTTTTCTCCCAACCGTTCCTTTCTTCTTTCTTTAAATCTAGGCCACACATATGGCTTTCCAGATTAAGCTCCAAAAATCTAGAGCTTTCTAGAAAATAATCAATTTACTAAAATGCCCCCGACTTTAAACGTTAATATCTCATTCATTATAACGCCAAATCACGTTCTGTTTGCTTCCACGCGTTTGTAGTGACGAGTACTATGAGGATATGCCAAGAAAACGAGTGTTACGTGACACGACAAGGTAGTCAACAAAAGTCAACACTTTGCCTCAAAGGGCATTTTCATAAATTCACTTATTAAAATTATATAAACTGTAAAATTGGGAACGGGTCGTTACAACTGTGATCAATAATAGTCCTATTTGAGCTGATTAAGTTTGTGTCTAAGCTTGCTTAGATTTGAGTTCTCCATCACTTTTTATTTCTTTTTTTTCCTTTTATTTATTTGTTTATTTTTTCAATCTGATCCTTCTCCAAAGGTTCTCCCTTCTTGGTTTTTTTGGGTATTGTGGGTTTGGAAAAATATGAGGTTGAAATTCTGTGAGGTGGGTATTCTAGATTATAGTGTGGCTCTTGTTTATGTTCGGTTAGCCCTTTGGAGCTTGCGTCTTTTGTTCATGTCTCATGGTGGTGTTGGCGCGATTTATTATGATGAACTAGTAGCTTCGTTGCTGGTTTTCATGACCGCATAGTCCTTTTGTAGTTGTCATTATTTGTTTCTTTTATAGTTTCTCTTAGGAGTCGGGACTGCTCATTTGTAAAGATTGTTCTCTTATTAGTTTCGTTGGCGATTTGTGCATAGAGTCTCCCATGAGGCGGATTATGAAGTAATTGAATTTTTGGTTGCCAAAACTGAAGTTCTTTTGGTTTTGGGGTCCTGGATGTGTTCTCATGCTATTCACAACCAAAGATTCGTTGATATGACATCCATTAGATTGACTAAGTTGACCGCGTTTTTTTTTTTTTCTTTCTTTGGAGTCATTTTTGTTTGAGGAACCTTCGGATTTAATCTAGGATGCCCTGATTGAAGTTTTTCCTTTTTGGAGTCCTTTTTTTTCGCTAAATTATTGAAAATCTATGACATTCCACGATTTAGGTGTTGTTATGAAAAATTAACATAAGATGAAGATGTTCTTGACACTTAGATAAAAAGGAACATAATTTAGGGTAATTAGTATAACTGATTAGTTTTTGAGATTTGATTGCAGAAATGATTAGGTTTTAGTAACTACATATTGATCATATTGATGACTCAGACAAAAAGGAATATATTTTAGGGTAATTAGTAGGAATGATCAGTTTTTGAGATTTGATTGCAGAAATGATCAATTTTTAGTAATGACTACACATTGATCATATTGATGACTCATTGTCGTCATTGTGTGATTGTTATGTCTTTTTTTATGACTCGTTATTAAAAATTTCAAAACCTAATTGCCCTACTAATAATGAACAAAATTTGGCTGCTGAACATTTAGCAAGAAATTCTGCTAAATAACTAATCTGGCTTCTCAGTAATTTGACACATGTCCACTCATTTTCTAAAAATTATGCAATATTAAAAATAACCATATAAAAGGCTAGAATAACCTTTTCTAAAAAGGTTTGCCGATTCCTTTAGATTGTCCAGAGAAAAGATAGGTAACGAGGATTTCGATAGTGGTGCGAGCCATAACATTGTGGATGACGATGAGGGAGTCAACTGCATTCAGTGCCCAAGGGCCAGTGAGATTACCACTCTTCTTCTTCCTTGTTGGAACCCTAGAAATGGAGATTCCATAATGAGTAATTGCTCTGGAAAACCCCAAACATAGAGTTTGTAATTGTCCTTTAGATTAACAGACCGACAAAGACCACAGCAAAATGAAATGCCAAGCAGGGTGTGAGCCAAAGCAACCATGTCCCATTCCCTTTCTCCTTTACTAGTGAAGAAGAAGAAGACGTATTGAAATTGGAATTGGAATTGGAATTAGGATTTCAGAGACCACATTCAAATGGCTAGGGTTTTTGGGTGAAGAAGAAGATATTGTTGGTGGTTTTTAAAAACCTTGGGTATTCAGATTAGGTTTAAACCCCTTGGCTTTTCTTTTGTTTGGAGTCGACATCTATGAAGAGAAGAGACAAACAGAAAAGAAAAGAGAAAATGACTAGACAAATTGAACGCAGTTGGCATAGCCAAGCTTTGTAAAATAGTTATTCTACTATTTTACACAGTTATTTTTAATAGGGCAATGCTAAGGAGACCAAATTTTTTAAACCAAATTTGCGAACCAAATGATGTGGTTGTCGATGATTGAAATTTTAATTAAGTGTCGGCTAACGTGATTATCTCTTATTGGTGACACATCATTTGGTTTGCAAATTACGTTTAAAAACCAAAGGAAAAATTCTCTGTCGTTGGCTCCTGCCTTTGGCTTTGGAGTCAGAGGCAATCTTCTTGAAATTCATTTTTCGTCTCTTCCCTCTCACTTTTTGTTTACTTTATTTGGTGTAATGTGAAACTTTATAGTCACCGTCATAGTCGTCGTCTTTTGACCCACGCATACAGTTAACACAAGGTTTTGAATTCAATTATCACCTTCGATATTAGGTTGAAGCAGGAAGCCATTGAAGATGCCGAATTGCGTTGGGGTTGAGTTTAGTCAGTACGACACTTTTAGTTTAGCCGATGTAGTGATATGGCTTTTAGATGTCCAGAGGATGTGGAGTGGCGACATGATTTTCCTTTTATTTTGTTTCTATTTAATAATTCCCAAGAATTATCTTGAAGTTTGGTTGATTTCTCTATAGGAGAGTTTGCTAATTTGATTGCTCTCTATAGGAGAGTGCTTGATTTTAATTTTTACATTTTGATGTGCTACCTCTTTTGGATCTATGTGTGAAGCATTGAGCTGTTTAATTTGCTGGATCTACTACTCATTTGGTGTTCTAGGATCGTGGTAGTGATTAGGTGATGCGATAGACTCATAGGCATCGTACTCCCTATCCTAATTTATGGTTTGAGATTTTGTTTTCACATGATCTTGCTGCAACACAAAGGTTAACAATTTTATTGATCAGTGTAATCATGTGGTTCCTGATGAGCTTGGACGGGTACTTGAAGTCTTAGTGATGTTTATTGTAATATTTTTTAGATCTACTTTGCAAGGACTTTTTTGGAGCTGAGTTCTTCAAATCATTGAATGAAATATAGTACTCTTTTTCAAAAAAAAAAAAAAAATTGATATCGTTTTTAATATTGTTTTCTTTTTTATTGCATAATTTTTCAGAAAAGAAAAAAGAAGTGGATAGGTGTCAAACTGCTGAGCAGCCACATCGGCTATTTGGCAGAAGTGGACATGTGTCAAGCTTTGCTCTCGAATAATCTCATATTCTTTACTTAACTAAATTACTATACTTTATAAACACCGGCGGCAGAGGACTCTCTTCCGTTCTCTTCCCCACAAAATTGATACAATACAGGTGATAAACCCCCAAAATCCCAAATCCCCCACAAATCTTCAAACCCTAATGACCGACCCTTCTAGGCCCGTCACCGGCTACCCAGCCACGCCCTACGCCCAGCCTAACGGCGGCCACCCCTACTCCAGCTACCCCACCTACGCCCAACCTCAAGGTCCCTACTCCAACGCCTATGCCGCACGCGCCACCTTCATCCGCCGCTTCGTCGGCGCCATGATCGCCCTCTTCGTCATCGTCGGCTGCATCATGCTTGTGATTTGGCTCGTCCTCCGCCCCAAGGTCCCCGACTTCCGAGTCGACTCTCTCTCACTCACCAACTTCAACGTCTCCTCCTCCTCCCAGTCCCTGAGCGGCACGTGGTCCGTCGGCTTCTCCGTCTACAACCCCAACAAGAAGCTCAGCATCCGATACGAGGAGGTCGTTTCTTCCATTTTCTACCGGAACGGCTTCATATCGGAGACTCGTGTTCAGCCGTTCGCTCAGGGGACGAAGGATCGCAATTTCGTGAACGCCACTTTCTCGGCGGCGAATTCGTTCGTGGACGCCCCCGTGGTTCGCGGGATAGAGGTGGACAGGGGACGCGGGACGGTGAGCTTTAACGTGAAGGTTTTGGCGAGGGTCCAGTTTCGGAATGGCGGGTGGAGGCTGAGGCGGCGGCTGCTGAGGGTTTTGTGCCGTGATGTGGCGGTTTCGGTGTCTTCCAATAGCGGGTCGGGTAAGCTGGCTGGTGGATCAAGAGATTGCCAGGTTGCTGTTTGAAAACGGAGGACTGCGATTGGTGTTAATGGTATTTCCATCTCTCACGTTTTTCAGATTAAAGTCTTTGGAATTGTCTAAAATTTAGAATCTAGAAACGTGGTGTTGTACGATTACTAAGATGAGTATATGAGTTTACGTTCAGCTGCTGTATATGTTTTAACTTCAATTCTTTTCTTGTTTTTGCTTATCAGCTTCAAATTTCGTTGTTTCTTAAATAGTACGTAGCATTGAGCACGTAGTATTGAATGTTACGTCTGAAAATTCACAAATAGAAAATAAGCACATCAATTAAACACTTAAGTAATAGTATGATCATCAACAATCGTGTTGTATATTTTACAAAATATGATTTAAAAATAGTCTCTCTAGCATTACCCGGCAAGAAATGCAGAAAAATTTCAGAAACTTGATTTTGATGACAAACCTGCAAGTTAGATTCTTTACTTTGTTTCTGGTCATTTCATTTTCCACTCTTTTCCCATTGGAATAATGCTATTTATACATCCCAAATTACTTTTCACACACTTTTTTTTAATTTCTGTCTGTTGATCTTCTTCAATTCATTCAATCCAACGGTCGAAAAATAGAAGGGTGTATGATAAGTAAAATGGGATGTCTGGATATCACACCTTTTTTCCATTTGGGAATTTCCGTTTTTGAATCTTCCCCACGACCAAAGAAGTGACCTTTTGCAAATGCTTTCCCCTACTTTGCAGTCTGTCGCGTGTAATTTTATTTCTTTTCTGTAAAGAATAGAATCTATCTAAAACATGAAATCATGAGAATCTGATTATCTTCTCCTCATCTCAACTCTTCTATTGAATACCTCCTACTTCTATTACGATTCGATACACACGTTATAAGATTGTACGCGGTGTAGATTAAATGACGATTGAATTGAAGATTAAATCCATGATTTGCGCAGATTTAGACTTTGGCATTTGTTTTGTGACAGACTTGCTGTTTCTAGCAGAATGACGTCATGTGTCTAACTCCCAACTTAGCTACGATATATAGAATTTTTGGTCCAAATTTCATCGTTTAATAGGATGGCCTTATTTTTAGTGGAAGAATTTTTTGTTTATTAAGTGATCCCTTGGACCTGATTTGTGATGCCCTATTTGATGATTGTTATTGTTTAATTACTTCAATAAAGCTATCGTTTCAACTCAAAAAAAAAAAAAAATTAAAATCAAATAAAATAAAAAACCAAACTTTGAGATTTATCATTCTCATTCCCTAGCAGATTCCAAGCATCTTATGTGCTAAGGTTATTGTTTGATACCCTTTTTCTTACGCTGCGCCAGTACGTCTTTCAATAGTAAATCCATCATAGAAGTGTTCCAATAACAGGAGGCAGATTCTCTACCCTCCCATTTTCCGTGTCCTTCTGTTTGTGTGGTTACGAGTAAACCACGTCAACATTTTATATTACTATTCTTTTTTGTCTCATTATCTTTATAAAAAAAAACAATATAAAATGTTGACGTGGTTTAACTGTGATAAGAAAAAAAAACAATAGGGTACGGGAGGGCACGGGAAGTGGAAAGGCAGATAATCTACCTTCCCTATAACCACCTATAACCACCCAAACCCAACGGATTTTCGGGAACACCCCGGGAAGTGGAAAGGCAAATAATCTGCCTCCCCAATAACCACCAAACCCAACGGATTTTCGAGAACACCCCCACTATTTGTTTGTTAGTAGTATTATTATTATTATAGCGATATAGTTTACACTAAGGAGAGGGAGACTTCAGCTAAGCCACACAATATGTAACCTAATTTGGTATCGAACTTGCCATTTACGAGATTCGAACCTAAGACCTTTCACTGTTTTAACTTACATATAAAAATTGGTACAACTATATCTATTTTCTTATTATGTCCGACCTCGTTTTGCCAAGTTAGCTAGAGCAATGTCAACACCCTCTACACCCATATTCATATCCCCTTTTTATTGTTTAGATGAATTTAGTGTAATTTATATGATGTAGTTATTTTTTTATGAAAAACAATAGCAATTTTACATTCATCTTAAGAAGATGTACAAACTTCAAAAAGGGTACTCTATATTTATTTATTTATTTATTTTGAACAAATGATATGATCTGCAATAAGAGGGTGGGGGTAGGCTTAGCCTCACAATGAGCTAGTAATAATGTGGTTCAAATCACCTTTAATGAGGATCGAACCTATGATAAGTGAAGAAGAATACCACTAGACCGTACTATGTGGCAAGAGGGTAATATGAGGGATTCTACATCTCCAAATTTTCATCTCCTGTATATGGGGGATTTAGAACACTAATTTCCTTAATAGGTACATAGTGTACCACAATGAATTACGGTGACGGTGACAAAAAAAACAAAAGAAATATAATGATAATATGGTCAAAATTGTGTGATGTTATTTTTTATGGTAGCAAGATACTTGTTTATATACAAAGAGAATCCAACTCCAAAAAGGGAAGAATTGTGAAAATAAACCCCAATTAAAACGCATCCAACTCTTTTGCAACAAAAAAAGTAGGCAAATATGGCTCTTGTAGATCATATCAATAATTTAAATGTCCACAATTAGATGTTTTTGTACCAAGGAAGGTATTACTTCTTCACCAATACTCATTCAATTACTTCATTTTGTCTTTTCTTATATACGGTGTTGATTTTTCTTTTATTTTTTAGGGTATCTTTTTTTTATTTGTTTCCACGCGTTAACAATATCTAAGGCCAATTAAATTTCGTACGTAACAAAAGTTGACAAAGCAACTATAAATTTACCTAAAGTTGTACAATTAGGTTTACCATTTAGTTTGAGAGCTTTCCTATACATCTGCGTATTCCGAAAAAGCTTGATCCATCAAACCATTGCTCAACGACATGGAGATGATCTGAAATCTGGTTAGTGAACTTTATAAATTTGTTATTACCGAAAAGTGTTGTTTAATTAATTTGATGTATAACGATTGGCATGCATATATAATCGCACGAGAGAGAAACATATATAGCATGGAGAAAAGAAGGTGAAATAGCTTTTGTTTTCTTAGTAAGGAATCAATACATAGGTTGTTTTTAAAATTATTTAACTATGTTAATTCATAATTTTTTTGACTAAAATTAATGCAAGCTACACATTTTACTGAATTTTGAATTTCAGAGTGCCAAATATGTACATATATTTTAAATTATTTACATCCATCCACATATATACGTTGAGTAGATAAATACTTGTACTTCCACTTTTATTCCACTCTTGCATTCTTTACATTTATCATCGGAATACATGGAATTATAATTTTTATTAATACAGGATTAAGATTAGTTTGGCCATCAGATATTTTCTCTTCCCTTGTATACAATCATTAGATTCATTACAGTGTAATATATTTAAGCGATTATACCACCATTAGTGTATGGGATTCCATCCAAACTTTTCGCGGTGATCAAATTATTTAATTATTTTCTTTTTTGGTAAAAAATTAAATTATTTTTTAGTACTGCTCAAAATATATTTTGTCCTCTCTAACTTTGTTTTTCTATATACATTGCAAACTGGCCCCTTTGTCAAACTCCCTCTTGGTAAATTATCTCACAGAAGTCCGTACGTGTGCATACGTTTAGTGCAACTTCAACTTCTTCCTTCACCTAGAGATCATATCCGTCCCTTCGCTTCCTTCACTCCCTTCACCACCCAGGATCCAACTTCCCAGAATGAGTGAAACAAACACCGCGGGCAACAGCAGTGGCAGCCGCCACCAGCTCTACATCTACCTCGCTTGGGGCACCGGTATCTTTGTTGTCCTCTTCGCCATCGTAGTCTTGCTTGTTTACCTCATTCTCAGGCCCTGCCGGCCAAGCTTCATTCTCCAAGACATGACTGTTTACAACTTCAACGCCTCCACCGCACCACCCTTCGCTCTCACCACCAAGATGCAGGTGAGTTGTATTTATAACTCTATTTTCAGTAAGCGTGTCGGTTTTGTGTGTTCAAATAATATTACTCTTCTTAAATTTATCTAATAATTCTTTCTTCATCTTGTATAAGCTCAACCTTTTGGCTTCGCTCTTGTAGGTGACACTCTCCTCTACAAACCCTAATTCTAGGGTTGGCATAGCGTACCAATCCGGCATGGACATCTACGCCGTGTACCGAGACCAGCAGATCACGTTGGCATCTCTCTTGCCTGGAACGTACCAAGGGCACAAAGAGCCTGTGGTGTGGTCGCCGCTTTTGAATGGCGATAGCGTGCCGATATCTCCATTGTCCGGGGAGGCCTTTGCACAAGATCTGAATGCTGGGACGGTGATGATAAAAATCAAGCTTGACGGGAAGGTGAGGTGGAAGGTGGGCACTTGGATTTCCGGCAATTATCACTTGAACGTGCTGTGCACGGGGAATATCAAGTTTGGTGATATGATCATCAAGGGTATGCCGACGGATCCTTGCATTGTGGAAATTGGTCTATAACTCTCAATTGATTTCTCTCTTAGCTACGGTTTTTTTTTTTTTTTTTTCAATTTTGTTCGTGTTTTCTTTAGGGAAGATAGGATTCCCTTCCTCTTTTTTTTTGGTGACTTTGAAGGATATTCTTTGGTCTTATATATTAAGGTACTCAAGGAACAAGAACATCCATGAGATCATTACATTTACATAGATGGTTTTCTGTCTCCTGAATCTTGTGGTGGCAACATTTATTTTTACCGTTGCCTTTTGAAATTTTCTGCCTATATACTATGGCGACAAAGGTCATCAGAGATTATGACAGGATTGACTGCGCTGGCCAATTTGTGTCATAGTTACGTTATCATCTCTCATAATTCATGTAGAGTTCAGTACTTATTCAAATAGAATCTCCCTTGCGTCCAAGGAGACCAAGGCACTTTATTCTAAAATCCAGTATAAAAGAAGTAGAAATTGTTGTATCATCATATCCTGCTTTCCCGAAGCATGTGTTTGGATCGTGTTGCATGAAAAGTGTACACAAATTGGCAGCCACATTCCTAATGGTTTTGAGTATTTTTGACACAGTTACAAGGTAAAATCCTTTCTTTTTTGTCATCCAAGAAGTCAAAGAACGATGAACTTTGGAACCTTGAAAGGATTTTTGCTAATCTATAATTGAAATTCAAAATAGGCATTATACATTTTACAACAATCAGTCAGGAAGGAAAAATAGTTCAAAAG